CGCGCGGACGGCCCAATGCGCATCCAAGAACGCCGCCCACTCAAGGAGCCTCGAGAGCGCCCGCCGACCGACAAGAGAACCCCGAGAGGGCCAGCGGGGAGGCCCCAGGCGGCCCACCGACATTCCACCTGCCCAACACGGCCCCAAGATCGCTCCAATATGATCCCGGTTGGCAGCGCGTGACCGCTCGACCGCGGGCGCCGCGGAAAGCGAACGCCGCGCCGCGGTTGTCTGCGATGTGCGCCCGCGCGGCTGGGTTAGGGCGTCGCTGCGGAGATACGCGAAGCGTTCTCGATTTTTCTGGAAGGCCACTTGCCATTGCACAAAGATTCAACAATTTTGCGCCGCCGGCTCTGTGAACGTTCTTTCCCCGTGAAAAAACACATCAAGCCACAACTGCCTCTCCTCGAGGTTGCTCTCTGGCGGTGCACCTGGAATGTACTCGAGGCGGTCTCTCAGAAGCGTTCGCAACACTCTTCGAAAACGCGCCGCGCCGAAACCGCCTGACATTGAATGCGCTACATGAATGATCCAACATACCCGATGGGCGACAGGCGGTCGAACAAGATTCCTTCTCACCCTTCGGGCAGGGGGTTGCCAGCGCCCGACCCCCCCCCCCCCCCCCATTGCCCCGGCCGGGGGGGGTGGGGGGAGGGGGGGGGGGGCGCGCGAGCGGCCAGAGGTTCTTATTCGCCCATTGGTAAAACCCATTTTGACGCCCCCACGGAGGTCGCAACCGTCGAGGGGGGTGGTGCAACATGGGCCCCCACCTCCACGCGCTGACCGATGGCATCCAATATGGCTCCAATATCCCCCCCCCCCCCTCCCTGGGCTCCCAAGAGGCCCCCCCCCAATATGACATGAAGAGCGCAGCAAGGAGCCCCAGCGCGGCCCCACGACGGCCCCCAAGACAGCCCTGAGGGGCTCCGAAGGCGGACCACGCGGCCTCCAAGACGCCCAAGATCGCTTCCAATACCCCTCACCAAGGCAACCCGCAGTGCGGCTACTGTTGGATGGGCTGGTGGGGGCACGCGAAGCGTGAATGATTGCGTTGATGCCACGACAACTGAAATCCATCACCTTGGTATGGATATTTGCTATCCTGTGCACCGCGCATTTCAAGTGCAAAACATTAAAACGAGTATATAAAGGCGTGCAAGCGAGGCCTCGCTCCGCGGCGGCGCACGATGCATCGCCATCTGTGGTCACGAGGCGCTGGCGCCGACCGAAGCAGTCAGGTATATCACCCAACCTCGGCTTGGTTTTTTTCAAGGCACTGCATGTACCACTCTGGATGCTTGCTGGCCATGCTCTGATGCCACGCTGGCAGAGAGAAGCGAAACGTCTTGACATATCCATCAGCCTCGACCATGAGACTGAAAATCCAGCAAGTGGCCAAAACCTTCTGCTGTGTAACTTCATTGGGTGACGACGCGAGCTTCTCTTCTTCAGGTGAAAGCGTGGAGCTCGCCTTCAAAACTGCATTGAACTCAACGTCGGCGACGCGCAAACGCATAGGCGTTTCATCATGTTGGCACGATTCCGTAAAGAGAAGCAACGTTCCTCCTGCCCTGCGTGCGTTTGAAATAACATGCCGCAATCCCTTGATGGCGTCGGAGTGCAATACCGACAAGCCTGCCATGGCGAGACACCGCCGCCGTCTCGACAACGTGAACGGCGTCGTGCCCAACATCTCGGCCTCTACCTTCAAGCTGGCATGCGAACGCTTCGTGGACAAATAATGGCCGGCAGTCCGCATCGAAACTGCATCCGTTAGGTCTCGTGCGTCGCACTGGCGGACCCGTTCCCATAACAAAGACACACTACGTAAATGAACACCTGCGACGGCAATATCTTCAACAGGGCCGATGTCATCTGGGTCCTCAGCGGCAGCACCTGGCAACAGAAGGGGAACTATCGCCATGTCCGCCGCCGCAGCGTGCGGGGCACCAGCTGGGCCGCCAGCTGGACCGCCAACGCCTGCATCTGGCACCAAGCAACTGTCATCACCCAAACTCTTTTTTCCGAGCCTGAGAAATTGCTTGGGCGTCAAATGCGCTGGCGGCACCTCGACGCCAGCTCGGCCCTCGTCGCCAGCGCCAGCCTCCACATCGTCAAGACACTCACTGGCAATGGCAGCCTCGAGGCCAGCCCAGCGCCCGACAACGGGCGGCTCCGCGTCGCCAGCGCCAGCCTCCACATCAAGACACTCACTGGCAATGGCAGCTTGCAAGCTAGCCCAGTGCCCGACAACGGGGGGCTCACCGTCTCCAGTGCCAGCCTCCTCGTCACTACATTGATCTGACAGTAGCTTCCCTAGCTGATCCCACGGCATTGGGACAACGTCGTTGAAGGAAGAGTGCGGTATGCAAGCTTGGTTTGAGCTCAAATGGTTACGGACGCTGCCCTGTGGACCCCCCGACCCCCTCATCATGCCACCGCCCCGAAGACATTATCAGACAGAGCCCGCGCATCTGTTACAACAAGGGCCCATGGCGTCACTGGCTAACTTCTGAATATTCGCGCCCCCAGGCAAGCCTGACATCTTCGCGCCCGACGCCCTGCGGATTTCCCTGGAGGAACCTCGAGACAGCAGACTCATCTAAAGAAACTTGCTCTTCCGTCTCACGTTCGTGACGTTCGTCGTTGTCATCGTCGTCGTAGTCGTCGTGCTCCTCCACTCCCGTTTCCTCCTCCTCCTCCTCTCCACCGCCGCCATTTTGGCTCATGCTTAGGTTTGGCCATTGAAGTTGCCCTCGTATCAGAAGGCTCCGTCGGCGGGGGCGCATCGTCCACGCAGGGGCCGAGAAACCTCTCCAAAACCTGTCGAACCTTCTGCTGCATCGGGGGACAACACGAACATAAACATTTCAGGTGCATGCGGTTTAAACATGTTCGATACATTATCGCTACTTCCTGACATTTGATTGAAACTGCAGTTTACCGGGACATCTATGTCTCAAGCGCGAGCGCCTGTGTTCGGCTACACGTGAGAGCGACCCTGGGCCATAGGCAAGAGTGAGATTTGGTGCGCGATTTTCGGGGGGGGCCGCGGGGAGGCCGAACAGGAGCGCGCAAGCCGCTGCTGCCACGCATTCAGCCACCTGGGGACCCCAGTGTGCCCGCGCGAAGGGTCACTCCTGTGAAAGGTCAGTGTTGCGCGTTGCCGAAGCACGGGCCCCTGTGCACCCGGACAGGAGCCGTCATCCGCATCACCGAGAGGTCGATGACTTCGACCCCTGGCCCGGGGCGCTCGGCCAGCGCCGGCGGCGCTCCGCTGTGTGGAGCCTGCCGCACCTTCGGCGCATAGCCGAAAATTGTCCCTTTACGTATGCGGACGGTCAAGAACTTGTTCCTTGGCGTGTCGCGGGCGGCGGCCCCAGCGACACGGTATGCCCTGCAAGCGGGGGGCATGTCGCTCCGCTCCGCGCGGCGGGAAACTCCGATAGGCTCGGGACGTTGGCGCCTGGGGACGCAGTGCAGAGCGCGTCGCAAAGCAACGTGGTGTGCCAGAACCGGCTGCGCGAAATGCTGCTATCCCGAAGTCCCCGACCGTAGCCGATGTGTCTTCAGATCGGGGGCGTCCAAAAAGGGGGCGTCCAAGAAGCGGGGGGGGCGCAAATCATGGCCGGCGGCACGTGCGCAGCCCACGGGGATAAGAAGAGGCGCCATGAAACCTGAGGAAATATCATGGCCCCCGCCATGATATCCCCCCCCACTGGCCTAGAGGCGTCCTGCATGGGGTCCGACTAGATTGGGTCGGAGGATCGCGCCGCATCGCCAACGCATCGGCGATGCATTTGTGATGCATCGGCGACGTCGACGTGGAGAAGATCGGGCTCCGCATCGCGCCGCATCGCCGATGCATCGGGGATGCGTCGCAGTCCTCCGAACCAATATGCTCCAATCCCACCTAGGAGGCCTAGATAGTCATCACCCCCCTCTGGGCCGCCCCCGATCAGAGTGGTCGCAGATCGGCAGGAACGCATTTTTCGATTCGTGGCCATAGCGGGCGTTATGGAGGGGGGAGGGGGGGAAAGGACGCCGACGGCGGGGGGCACAACGTAACGACCCCCCCCCCCCTCCAGACAGTGCCGGACGCACTGCGGCAGTGCCGGGGGCGCGTCGAAGGGGGAGCGTTGCGATTTGGATGGGAGGGGGGGGGAGGGGAGGGGGCATACCGCGCGTCGTGGCCCAGAGCAACAAAAACACTCTCCAGAGCGGTCGCAGATCGGCAGGCCCGCGGCCCCTCGGCGGCCCTCGGCGCCCCCGCGGCGGAGCGGCGCGGCGCGGCGCGGCGGGGCGGCTGCGGCGCCCGCAGTCGGTGCGAGGCCCGCTGCAGCGCCGAGCGCACCGCCCTGCGGCGCGGGCGCGCGCGGAGTTGGCACTGGACCGCAGGCGGCCGCCGCGCACCGAGATCGCCAACTCGGAACGACGACGACGTCGACGACAACGACAACGACAACGACGACGACGACGACGACGACGACGACGACGACGACGACGACGAGCACGACGTTTTTCCATTTCGACGCTTTTCGACGGTGCCCCGAGGGCCCCCTCGGGGCAGCGACGCGCACGCGCAGTGGGCGCGCGCACAGCGCGGGCCCTCTCAGGCCCTGGCCCTTGCCTCTCGGAGCTAGGCGAAACCGCCGCCACCCCAAGCCTCCACGCCTCGACGGCAAGGCGGCCCCGCCACCACCGTCGAGGCCCCGCGCTCCTCTCCTCGGGGGCAGGCGAACCGCCGCCGCCCCAAGCCTGCCGATCGGCTGGCCGCCTCCGCCTCCACGCGCGCCTCGTGTTCCGCGATGAGCCTGTCCGCCATCGCCAGCGGATCCTCGTGCAGCGTCCGCGGCATGGCCACGTTCTTCTCCACTTGGACCCCCGCGAAGCGGATCTCGCTCTCCTCCGACTCCCCGGCTCCACGTCGCTCTCGCCCTCGTCGTTGAAGTCGCTCCCGCGCTCGCTCCCCGCCGTGGCGACGAGCTCGCCCAGGAGGCTCACGTCGAGCCCGCCGTTGCCGTGCACGTCGGCGCCACTGAGCCCCAGCCCCCCGCAGCGCCAAGGTCGCCCGAGGCGCTCCCGCCGGGCTCACCGCCGACGTCCGCGTCGACGACGATCGTCTCGACGTCCTTCACGCCCTCCTCCGAATCCTCCGTCTTGCCGAAGCCCTCCGGCTCCTCCGTCGCCGCCGCGACGTCGATCCCCGCCTTGACTGGCAGCTCGTCCTCGTCGTCGTTCGCCCCGTCGTCCGAGGTGTCCACGTTCTCTTCCGCGCCCGCCACGGCGCTGCGCTCCGCCAGCCGCCAACCCGCCTCCAGGTCGTCGGCGAAGGCCACAGCTTGCGGGCGCATGTCTGGCACCAGCCACAGCCCTGGCGCGAGCGCCAAGAGCACGCGCCCCTCAGTTTCACTCTCGAGGTCGAGCTTGCCGAAGACCTGCCCCTCCTCGTCCTACTTCTTCTCCGTGGTGGCTCCGTCCCCCGCCAGCCAGTCCAGCATCGCCTGCACGTCGGCGCCAGGGCTCGGCGCCTCCCGCGGCACTGCCGCCCGCCAGCGGTCCTTGCATGTCGCGGCCCCCAGTTCCGCCACGCATGCCTCCACCTCGAAGTCCTGCTCGCCCTACTCCACGTCATCGCCTCCGCGGTCAGCATCCACGCCAGCCGAGCCTGGGCCCTTTGGCAGCCTCCCACAGGGCGGCCGCTGGGGCCTGGCCCAGCCACCGCGGCACCCCAGCCGTGTGCAGCGCGACGTTGCGCCGCAGCCTCTGCATCGCCGTCGGCCTGCGCCCTTCCAGCATGGCAGCGAGCGCAGGCACGCAGGCCGCCAAACGGTCCGCGAGGCCCTCGCCCTCCACCACCGCGCCGAGCGCCTCCAGGGCGGCGTCCAAGCTCGCGTTCCACTCATCCACATCCGTTGCGCGCCGCTGCGCGAGCCTGTCCGCTGAGTCCCTGGCCCAGGCCCTTCTCTCCCTCCTCGACGTCGCCGCCGCTTGGCGCCCTCCAGTGGCGCCTCCCGCAGCCATCGTGCCCGCGCCGCCCACCTGGGGGTTCGAGCCAGCTTGAGCCAAAATAGCTACAGACGACGACAACGACGACGACGACGACGACGACGACGACGAGGACAACGACGACGACAACGTCGATGTCGTACGACGACGAGGAATGGGTACGGCAGGTTCGTGGCGCTGCGGCGTTGCAACCCCCTGAGATCCTGGCGTTGCAATTTTGGTTCGCAGCTAAGACGAAGCCAGGACGAGAATAAGTTCGGGTGACGATGAACATCGAGAATCTCTGAGGTCCGGCGGCTCTGGAAGATGTCTCGGGCGCCGCGGCCTTCTCAGAGCGTTTCGGCATGCTCTGAGAGCGTTCCGGAACGCTCTGGAACGGATTCATCCTCGTCCTAGCACCGCCCGAACAACGGGCCTTTTCGTCCCGTTTCTCGGGCCCAAAGACCCTCACAGATCGATCTGGCTCGAAAAATGCTGCATAAAGGTGAGGTCTGGGGCTCCGGTCGTGATTTTCTGCGATGTTGCATTTTTTGGCAACGTCGGATCTCAGGGCCTGGCCCCGGCGTCGGCTTCTGACACCGCGCGGATCGTTCCACCTTGAACGATCGGCCGCTCTTCGACCGCCAGATCGTTCCATGATTAGGCGATTCTGGACCACTGGCGGGGCTCCCGTCGTGATTTTCTGCGATGTTGCAACTTTTTTGCAACGTCGGATCTCATGGCCTGGCGTCGGCTTCTGACACCGCGCGGAAGGCTGCCTGGCCAACAGCAGCCGCTGTCGGCTTCGGGCGACACTTGTTGCTGGGCATCGTGCCCCATGGTTCCGCACCCATTTCTGAAGGGTCCCAGGGACACACAAATAAATAGACACAGACCCTGGGATTCTCCGCATGTCCATATTTTGTTTATTATCGTCTTCCCCCTCACTCCCCATACTTTCGCACATCTCCTTCTTGGAATCGACGCTTGTTTCTGTCTGTGCATGTCTCCCCAATCAGCGCTTGCACTGAAAGGGGTCCTAGCGGATATTGAAAGGCTTGGCGCAAGTCCCGGGCCGATTTCGGTAGCCGGCTGGGTTCCTGGGTTCCCGGTTCTGGGCTCCCGGGTTCCCGGTTGCTGGTTCTGGGCCGACTTCGGGATCCTACGGCCGACCTCACCATCGATTTCATGATGGATCTCGATGCCGATGCGTCAAACCACCCACTGAATTGGAGAGTTTCCCTGGTGCAGCCCCCTCGTGAGGATCTCGGGCTTGCAGGCCCGCGGCGCTGCGGCGGCCGCCACAGGTCGATCGAGGCGCGCGGGCGGCGCCGGGAGCGGGCGCAGCGCCGAAGGGGCGGCCCGGGCCCCAGGGGGAGAGAGGCGCGAGGGAGCGCGGCCGCTGCCTCGACGGGCCCTCCGCCGACCCGGCAGCGCCACCACCACCACGGCTGGAGGGACCAGACAACAGCATGAACAGAATCTCGACGACGACGACGACGACGATGACGATGACGATGACGATGACGTCATCAGCACCGTCATCATCGTCATCGACATCATCATCGTCATCGTCGTCATCATCGTCATCGTCGTCGTCGCCGTCATCGTCAACGTCATCGTCATCGGAGGTCCGCGCGGATGCCTCGGATCGGCGCCAGGGGCGCTGCCAGGGGGGCCCGAGGGCCGAGGGCCATCTGGGCCTCCCCGGGAATCCTGGGGGCACCTTGGCCCAGGGACACCGTTCGCAACACCCGACGAGAGAGAGAAGTGGAAGTGGAGATGGCCAAGTCGCGAAGCGACGGAAATCTAAATCAGGAGATCTGGCCCGTGGTATCCGGCATGCCCCTCGGCACGCGACAGGACCTCTGGCCAGAGCCCGGTACCAATCCTCCGAAGCTGCTCCCTGGTCCTGCCAGTGGGCTCCCGCTTACACCCAACAGGGGGAGGGGAGGGGAGGGAGGGGGAGGAGGAGGAGGAGGAGGAGGCGGAGGAGGGGAGGCACCCTCGGATTTGTTTGGGCGTCTGGGGCCTAAGGGCCTCCCAGGCAGAGGCCGAGCAGACGGGGTCGGAGGATCGCGCCACATCGCAAAGCGCGTGGTGTGCCAGAACCGGCTGAGCGAAACGCTGCTATCCCGAAGTTCCCGACAGTAGCCGATGCGTCTTCAGATCGGGGGCGTCCAAGAGGGGGGCGTCCAAGAAGGGGGGGGGTGCAAATCATGGCCGGCGGGACGTGCGCAGCCCAAGGGGATAAGAAGAGGCGCCATGAAACCTGGGGAAATATCATGGCCCCCGCCATGATATCCACCCGCACTGTTCTAGAGGCGTCCTAGATGGGGTGCGAATAGATTGGGTCGGAGGATCGCGCCGCATCGCCAACGCATCGGCGATGCATTGGGGACGTCGGCGGTGCATCGGCGACGTCGGCGTGGAGAAAATCGGCTCCACATCGAGCCGCATCGCCGATGCATCGGCGATGTGGCGCGATCTTCCGACCCCATCTACTCGGACCCCATGTGGGAGGCCTAGGTTTTTGGGAGTGGCCGCAGATTCCTATTTGGGGATTTGGGGTGTTTGTGTTGCAGGTTTGTCTGGGAGCTTGTCCCCATACGATGCCTTGTTGGGAACAAAGGCTGCAACGACGGGTTCTCCGAGGCACAGTTCAACCATGTGCTTCCCTGCATGATGACACGCACGCTATCTGCATGTTCATCACGCGGTGCGCGCACAGGTACACCGCTACCAGGCGGCCATAGACGAGGCTTAGTTCACGTACTCGTGCGAGCCAACAGAGCCGCAGTTGCGCGACGCAAGCTGGACTAGCACAACTAAAAATGAGGCCAGTGTTCGTCGGGGCCTATGACCAGACCATCCACAACCTGGCCATGCAGATCTGCGTGACGGCCTGGTAGAAAGGCGAGCCCCATCGGCAAGCATCTGCCAAGAGACTGACCCGCCTCAGACACACCACGGACCACAACGCGGTGCTCAGGCACAACAACGAGCACACGCAGCTACGCAGGTACATCAAAGCGAAGGGGAGGTTTGGCTGTGGAACATGCCAACACAAACCATAAGGATGGGAGACATGCACAGCATGACGTACCTGCCAGAACGCATACTGCGGAGTGTGTTCGCAACAGCGAACCAGGCGGGGAACGGCGCGGAGGCACCTCCACTGGCTAGCGCTGGTGCGAGTGGAGGCCCAGTAGCTCGAGAGCCCAACGTGGATGCGGGCACATGTGTGGCTAGCGCTAATGGAGAATAGCGCGAAGCAGAACAAGGCGGCGGCATACCCAGCGACAGCGGCACGCGCGATGACCTCAACCTCGAGGAGCAATCAGTGATTCACGATGTGGACGTGCCGACTATGCAGCCCAACCTGGTGGTGGAGACCAAGGGAAGGGATACTGCAACAGCCACGGAAGGCTGGTGGCAGCCAGAGGACAAGGATGAGCACCCCATGCGGCAGCAAGTCATGCAGATGGAATGGGCTCTCGAGGGCAGGCTCGGAGAGTACACCAGCCACTGGATGGAGGACCCCGCATGCTGAAAGAGGATACGGACGCAGCCAGCTGGCAATGGATATGCGTGCCATTCGTTACCAATTACCTGGCTCGCCCCACCATCAAGCCGCTCGTCGTGCATGCGGCCGCAACGGGCGGGTCATAGAAAGACAGCAAAGGCCTCCATGGAAATAGCGATCGACATATGCCGCAGAGCCTTCCGTGCCAGACGCAGGGCCAGACGACGACATAACACGTGGCTGCAGCAGCTCCAGGAGCCCCCCCCCGAGCAGTGGGCCCAGCTCATCGCACAACACGCCCAGGCCATGGCCCGAGACACGGGCACCCCTGACAAGGGCGGAGGCACCAAGAAGGCAGGACGTCGCTAGGACGCAAAGACCTGAGGAAGCCCCCCCTTTAAGGGGAAAGCCACAGGCCCTGCGCCGCCACGTGGAGCTGGATCAAGTCTTGGGGAAGCCCTTCTGGGGAAGACCCCAGGCGCACAGTCGCCACGTGCGGGATGCGGATCGGCAAGGGGGGGCTACCCGAGTGGGCCCGACTCGGACGTGCCGCGGAGCAAACAACGAAGGATTGGCAGGCAGTCAGTCCAGCCAGGCGCTCGTATGTACACGCGGGATCGTCCTTCAAGCTGATGAGGCTACGGACACTGGCGTGAATCCCCCTTCGTATGCGAGCGAGGCCTCCCCACTCTTCGACACAACACGGAGAGGCAAGGGAAATAAACACAGCTGGAAGCAAGACCCAGCGCAAAACCCAGCAGTCGAGATGGCCCAGAACAACGCTAAGAACCTCTAACGTGCGATGGAAGACTTGGCGCGGTGGTGGCTACCCGCAGACGA